ACTGCAAGGCCATGCTTGAGTTGCTGCAAAACTCCAAACGACAAGTCATCATGGTCAACTTGGATCCAGACAATGACAGCATTCCATTTACGCCCGACATTGACATCGGCGAGCTAGTGAAACTTGAAGATGTAATGATAGAAGAAAATCTAGGACCGAATGGGTCTTTTCTCTTTTGCATGGACTTGCTGAGTAAGAACTTTGACTGGCTTTGTCAGCGCATTGAAGAAGAGATGACANAGGACCGAATGGGTCTTTTCTCTTTTGCATGGACTTGCTGAGTAAGAACTTTGACTGGCTTTGTCAGCGCATTGAAGAAGAGATGACAAAAGCAAAAGAAAAAATTGCCAAACAGCCAGCAGAGAGCCAGCGAAGGCCTTACATTATTTTTGACTGTCCAGGCCAAATTGAGCTCTACACCAACTACCCGATTTTTAAACAGCTGATCCATCGTTTGGGCAACGACCTAAGACAAGAGTCTGTTAAAGAGGTATGTGACTATTTACTCTAAACCTCTACCAATCAATCAACCTAATTTTTATTTTTTTGCAGTCAGACGAAAGTGAAAATAAAATGTCGATTGATGTTCGGCTTGTCACAGTCAACATTGTTGATTCTCACTACGCCAACGAAGCTTCTAAGTTCATCACTGTTGTGCTCAATTCTCTCATATCAATGATGCACATCGAGACTCCCTTCATCAACGTTCTTTCCAAAATTGATCTGATCGAGAACAGTGACAAAACCGATTTTGGCATTGACTTTTATTGCGAGCTACCCGATTTATCTCGTCTGGTAGAGAGAATATCGGATGATCCGTTTTTGAAAAAGTACAAAAAGCTAACTGAATCATTTGCCGATATCATTGAAAACTATGGTTTAGTCTCGTACGTACCATTGGATGTAAAAAACCAAGATTTGCTCTTGCGTCTGCTCGGCTTGATTGATCGTGCCAATGGCTTCTACATCTCTGACCTGTCCACCAACGAGGAAGTCCACAACTACTATCGCACGATCCAAGCAGACTTTGAAGCATCAAAATATGGCGAATTGCGCTAACTGTGATTGATTTCTAAACATTTTAATAACAACAAGTATTGAACTGCTAAAAGTCGGACGGAAAGCCAAACACCTCAATCTGTTCACTGTAGAAGAGTTCTGGTGGCGGCACTTGATTGGAACTTTGTTGAGACACTGCTACTACAGCTGAACTAATGGTAAACCCACCTTCAGGGGCTGATACTGGAAATGGAAATCGAGACACTACGCTGTCGACAATGTTTGCTCTGCTGAAGATCACCAAGTTCACCTGTAGGTGGTGGTCAGCTTTGGAGCGAGCTAAAAGGTCAACAATTGAAGTGCCGGCGTTCGGTTTTGCCAGTCCCAGCTCTGCCAATGCTCTTGTCGTGGTCATCACGCCCATCTGCCGCCCGCGTTGGTGGACTGGCAGAAGCCTCATAGAGGAGCTGCGCTTGTTGATCAGCGAGAAGGTGCCAATCACCGGACCCACTCCTGCTCCGTCACAGTCTGTGGCAAAGGCGGGCTCGTTGGTGAGAGGAACAAAATGGTGGTGGTATTGTCTGGTGGTGGTGCAGGGGTCTTGGGGGCTGACTGGACGTCGTCGTTTGGCCTGCTCCAGTGCTTTCGAGCGACAGTAGGCAGCGAAGAGGGCGGAGGGCGGCGGCAGCGGATCAGCTTCCCCTCGTTCCACATTAGAGTCAGTGTCACAGAGGTAGGCTGGACAGGAGTAAGGTAGTGCTCGGTCGAACAGATTCACTCTATCGGGGATTGGCTCCCTCTTCACTGCTGCTTGCGGCTGTTGCTGCTTTGGTTTCTGTTTCACTGATTTTCTGGCATCAGCTTTCTTTGCCTTCAACTCCACCGGGCTGACATCGCCCACTTGAGGAAGAGGGACTGCTTTTTGGGTAGTGGGAGTTTTTGGTTCATTCTGCCTGGTGATTCGCCTTGAGTTGGGCATGTTCTACGGTTAACAAAGCAAAAATAGTGCGCCCAACAGTTAAATTATCTGGCAAAAACATTGTCGCTTTGGTAGTTCGAAAAAGTTTTCGAACTCCCAAACTGACCAGAAAAGCAAGTCGTTTTCAGTCAGTTTCTTAACTCTCACGGTGTGGATAAAATGTCAGAGCTAGCAGCTGAACCCCTGGTGACGGAAGAGACCGAGGTGAGGGAGTACACCCTGTCCGATGGGAGTCGCGTTATCAAGACCATCGTCACTACTCGCACCAAGCCTCCGCCAAAGCCTAAAGCTGAGGTGATCACCGACCTGAGCCAGGCGTCGCCCTTTGAGCGAAACATGCTTGAAGCTCACAACGCGATTCGGGCGCTGCACGGCACACCGCCGCTGAAGCTTTCCAGAGAGGTAAGTTTGAGGAGGAGATAAACAATATCTGACCTGCCCCCTTTGCAGATGTGCAACTTTTGCCAGGAGTGGGCGAATGTGATTGCCAAGGAGGGCAAACTACGCTCACGCCCGCGAGAGCAGCGTTTGACGTACGGCGAGAATCTGTTCACGAAGCGCAGCGGCAGCATGAAGATCACCGGCGAGGAGGTGGTCAAGGACTGGTGCTCCGGGGCCAAGTACTACAAGTGGTACGGCGGAGAGCCGCCGGGCGGGTCCGACCGAAACAGCGGCAACTTCAGCCAGGTCGTCTGGCGAAGCTCGGAACGACTGGGCGTCGGCATTGCCACCGTGGGCAACTGCTTCTTCGTGGTGTGCGACTACGATCCGGGCGGCAATGTGCGCGACAGCTACAAGGACAATGTCCTGCCTAGAGAAGATAACTCTCGCTAAGGCCCATGCTTGGCCACCTTTCATTAGCCATTCATTGCCAATTTGCTTTTAGGCACTTAAATTATTAAATTCCGCTTTTATTTTTCTTGCTGTAGCCAGAATGCCTCGCTGTTAGGGCTCCAGTGGTCTCCTTGATCTTCGAAGCAAATCTTCTTCCAAATAGGTACCTTTTGCTTGATTTCATTGAGAATCTGCATCACCATTTGGTGGCCAGAGGATCGGTGAGGCGAAGAGACGGCAATCAGTATGGACTCCTCGCCCAGGTTGACCTGTCCCAGTCGATGGCAGACGTAGACCTTGTGCAGACCATCGGCCTTGCTGACGTTCTGCAGGACAATCTGTCGCATCGTCTCCAGGGCCATCTCTTCGTACGCCTCATAGGTCAGGTGCTTTACGATTCTATTTGGTTGTAATTTGATCGACAGTTAGACGGCTTCAAAAGAGCAAGCTGAAGGCTGTGGCGTACTTGCTATTCTCTCCATTTTCCGTAATTCGGGTCGTCCCAATGAAAATCGACGTACCACCGCAGTATGGCGAGTTCACCCAGCCGAGTGCTTCTTGAACGTCGATTCTCCCGTGCGTCAGACTCACTTGGCAGTGCTCCATTGATCGATGTGAAACTTGCCGAGGTAAATGACCACTGTTCATGCAAGCAGCAAAAAGTGAGTCCTCTCACCTTTGGCTGACTACCTATTTACACAAAACAACAGAGCGTCCTTTTTGGCGACAAAGAGAACGAAAGCACACCGCTGCGAGCGTTGCAGTTCTACCGTAGCAGTTGACAGTGCCCGTTTTCGCTGTTTGGTGGGCCAAAAGCGGTCCATTTCAGCCGTTGGCAGCATGTTTGTCTGTCTGTTTCTGTGTCTGATTCTGCTTTTGGTTCAGGTGCTGCTGATTTGACCGGCTGCCAATTTTCCTCCCTTCTGCGGCAGAATCGCTCCGTCNAGAGCGTCCTTTTTGGCGACAAAGAGAACGAAAGCACACCGCTGCGAGCGTTGCAGTTCTACCGTAGCAGTTGACAGTGCCCGTTTTCGCTGTTTGGTGGGCCAAAAGCGGTCCATTTCAGCCGTTGGCAGCATGTTTGTCTGTCTGTTTCTGTGTCTGATTCTGCTTTTGGTTCAGGTGCTGCTGATTTGACCGGCTGCCAATTTTCCTCCCTTCTGCGGCAGAATCGCTCCGTCGATCGCACGAACTGATTGTCAAATCAGCTGCTCCTGCCTGCAAGAGTTGTCAACAGAAGAGGACTCACAGCAGAAGCAGCAGTGACAATGTTGTCTTCAGTTGCGTCAGCGCTACCTTCATCTGTTGACCTCAGTACATTGAGTCAGTAAAAAACACTTGCACCGAGTGGTAGAGTGTTGCCCGTCTTGAGATAACTCTTCTTCTACCTCCGTTTCAATCCCCTTTTTTGATCTTCGACAAAAGATGTACAATCAGCTGAGTCAGTTGACCGTCAGTCTTAGTCCGACGACTAGGAGGGTCATTATCTTTGTTCCTCCACTTTTATTGGGCGGATTTTACCTGCTTCGAAGGTACGTTTAAATTGTTTGTTTTGATTTTCCCATAACCTTTATACCTTTTGCAACATCTAGGCTATTGAGGTCCGAAAAACTTGCAATAACCGCTTCAGGAAACGAAGTCCTTGATTCACCTAATTCACAAACCACCACAGCATCCATCACGCTTAACGATTCGTCTCAGCTAAAGGACAACTTTGATGGCTGTGCCTGGTCAGCTGATAACAAAGCCAAATCGGCACTAGCATCTAACAAATGTTCACACTGCCGTAGAAATCAAAAGCTTTCTTTTCGAGAAACAAACGTTCAAGATGCATCCCTTAAGATGTTTTCTACCGGTCAACTAGTTAAGTATGGTTTCGACAATCTAAATAATGCCATCAGGGCGCTTGAAGAACTGAAATCAAAGACGCAAGCGCTGAAGGAGTATGCCACTACTCCAGAAGGTGCCAATGTCGTCGAGTCTCAAATTGAATCGCTGTTCAGAAGTCTGAATGAAATATCCCTTGATTTTGAAATATTCAGAAATGAATTTATGCCTGCCACTTACAATTTGCATGCTGGATATGCGGTAAGTTACTACTTTAAAATTAATGTTCAACGCATAACTACTTTTTCCTTCTAGGCAGAAGATGAGGATGACTTTGATGATCAGGCGTCTTACCTTTCCTCAGCAACGACAACCTCGCTCGGGTACTATGATCCAGAGCCGAATTTGCACTTTTTCCAAATTTACCAGGATGCTCTCAAAGAAGTGCCCCAAATTAAACCGCCCAGAACAGATCGGACAATAGTGACAGGCAGTGAGAACTTTGAGGATTACCTCGCTAAAGTGCACTGCCTTCGAAACGCCTTTGCTTTGCTCTTTTCAAGGGAAAACATTCGCGAGAAGTACACCAATATCGGCCAAGAAATACTTAGACTAATTCTAGAGCACTCAATAAGGGTACTTTTTACTAGTTTCACATTTCTGGCTATAACTAACAACTTCATACTTTTTCTCCAGGACTCTCAAGACTGTATCAATTCGTATTATTCCTTTCTAAAGTTTATTTTGAACGAAGAAAATTACTACACAATCGAAAAGGAAATTTCTCATCGAAACATCGCTGCAATATCGTTTTACGACATCGTCTTGGACTACATGATTCTAGAGAGTTTTGACGACTTGGAGAATCCACCGGCGGCAGTGAAGTCAGTGGTAAACAACCGGTGGCTGTCGGCTTCCTTCCGCGAGATTGCACTTCAGACGGCCGTCTCTGCGGTGATGAGGCGCAAACGTTCAAAGTTGATCGTTCCCGATGGCTTCTTTGCCCACTTTTACTCCATTCTCGACTACCTGTCGCCGATAATGGCGTGGGGATTTCTCGGCTCCGACGACAACCTCAAGTTCAAGCTGTTCTCCATCAAGGAGTCTGTCACAGCAGTCATTCATGATTACTTCTCATTTGACCGGTGCCGCTATACCTCTTATGAAGATCTCTGCGATGACATTCTCCGAGTGACCGACGAGCGGTACTGGGAGTTGAATAACAAGTTGAGCATTCTTAGCAGCTGAAGAGTGAGTATTGTCTGCTGCTCAGCAAAAGCAAAGTGACATTGGTTGCCTCTCTATTTATTTTGCTCACATCTGAAGTGTTTGTAAATTATTTTGCCTTTTGCCTTCAAAGTATCTTGTACCTTTCTGTTCCAAGTCATTGCTATTTAATGTCATCCTGATTCATTCTGATGTGTCTTTTACAAAGAAGAAAAAGTCTACTTTTGTATCAGAACCACTGTATTTGTAGTTGTACTATCATTTTGACTACCTTTAGACTACCTTTTTACCTTGTTACCTCTTGTTATATTACTGGTGATGATTGTAGTATAAAATGCTGGTGATGCTTTTGCTCTTCGACGACGCATATTGGCTCGGTGTCGTTCTACTTCATTTGTTATAGTGTCGTTTCAATCAGTCCTCAACTGTACTACATTTTGTTTCTATTGCCAAGATCTGCCGCCATTGAAGACGTCGTCCAACGATTAGGGCGACTTGAAGAGTCACCATTACAGTTTGGTCAGGTGAGCTCAATCACACATTTCCAATATGCATGCAAATGTCTTCTTTTTCCCTTTACTTTCAGTTTAATTTTAAACTTTCATTTTTAATTAACTCTGATCAGTAACTCGATCGAGTGCAATGGTGGCAATATCACATGAATGTCATCAGCAATGAAGGTGTTTGCGACTAGAACATCTCTAGCTGTTGTGGCCCTGAAAACGCTGACAGCTTTAAGGATCAGCAATACCGTTTTGGTAGTACACACATACACGCACGTACTGAATGTCACCGTGTGTTCCTCAATGGCACTTTACACTTCTTGAGGGCTGCCACAAGTCTGAAGTTCGATNATATCACATGAATGTCATCAGCAATGAAGGTGTTTGCGACTAGAACATCTCTAGCTGTTGTGGCCCTGAAAACGCTGACAGCTTTAAGGATCAGCAATACCGTTTTGGTAGTACACACATACACGCACGTACTGAATGTCACCGTGTGTTCCTCAATGGCACTTTACACTTCTTGAGGGCTGCCACAAGTCTGAAGTTCGATTCTGTTTTAGCTTCTGCCATTGACAGTGGGCATTCCATCATCGACAGCAAAGACGACGGTGTGAATGAATGTGTGCACAGTGTGCACTGCACACTGAGAAAGGCTCTATTTCAACAAAGTTGCCTAATTAGCGGCTATTAATTGGCAATTAGGCACAGTGCACGATAATAATGGGCCCTCTGCTGTGGACACTTTTTTTTGCTGCAGTGCATGTGTGTGTGTGTGTGAACGGACACCACCACACTGAATGACATTGTCAGAGATGGCTGGCAGACTGTCGCTCATTTCCGTTGTTTTATATTTTTGCTACATTTTTCAGCGCTGCTGGGGACTCATTTTGCCAGGAGATGTGGTGATGAATAGTATGAACACAAAGTGCTAGACGAGTGGCTCGGTCAATTGGGGAGCTCAATGAGGAAAGAATTTGGTGTGAAGTGCAGTGATACAGGAGATACTGCTGCTACCACTTCTACTACTACTGCGACTACTTTGCCCACCAATCAAAATGACGACAATTTGAGTGCCTGCAAAGCACAGTGTGGTGATGACAAAGCTGTGGATGCAAATGGAAGACTTTTTGGTAGAAGGTGAGCGGCTATTATCGGCGCGATTAAGACTTGATTACGAGTATGGGCGCCCCGCTTATAGGGCGACTACTGCCTACGTGCGACTACTACTGCTGTTGCAGTTTTATTTGTCATGCCCATTGTCATCAGTTATGTTCACTTGTCACTGCTCGATGATGTTTCCTCCTCAGTACAGTAGCAGCAGCAGAAGTTCATCTAATTGTCATCTGAACGATCGTCCACTGCAGGCCATTGTCTATATCATGGACGTCTAGTGAAATGTGCAGCTTTTTGTTGGTATTTAATAGGTCGATTAAGTCTCTCAGAGGTGATGCTGATTGCCGGTGGATAGTTTCGAAAGCTGAGCTCTCTATTTGCGACAACGACCTAAGAGAACAGTTGAGCTCACTGTGATAAGGGGACTGCTTTATTTAAAATGAACCTATTCGGTGCTCCATCTCTGTCAGTGACCAGTGCAGTGTCAGGCAGCAGCAGCAGTTGTGCTTATCTCCAACGCCACTACCACTGACCGCAACACCACTGTCGCCTGTCTGCTCATAAAGGAAGCTAATTCAATTTAGGTAGAACGATAATGCCAGTGACAGTCTTTTTTTATGGGACACTTTATGTTAGGAAAAAATATGAATCAAAAACGGTGTCTCTTCATTCAGCCCTCAGTCAAGTCATTTTTGTCATCAGCTTATTGCTGAGAAAGAAAAACAGCCACTAGTTGTCACACAGTGTGTAAAAGCGCTCTAGCAGCGACTTTGTGGAAACNTTTTTTTATGGGACACTTTATGTTAGGAAAAAATATGAATCAAAAACGGTGTCTCTTCATTCAGCCCTCAGTCAAGTCATTTTTGTCATCAGCTTATTGCTGAGAAAGAAAAACAGCCACTAGTTGTCACACAGTGTGTAAAAGCGCTCTAGCAGCGACTTTGTGGAAACTCAGCGAATCGATATGCAAAGGAAAGAAACGATAAACAAGGGGCATGGAATAGAATGGCAAGCAGGACAAGACAAGACAAGATGAGGTGCATCGACACGAATGGACGAAGGAAGGGCACAAAACTACTGAAAAGTCTGGGATTTCTCNTCGATATGCAAAGGAAAGAAACGATAAACAAGGGGCATGGAATAGAATGGCAAGCAGGACAAGACAAGACAAGATGAGGTGCATCGACACGAATGGACGAGGGAAGGGCACAAAGCTACTGAAAAGTCTGGGATTTCTTCTGCCAATCAACCCCATTGCCTGTGCGTACCATCTCTCGCTTCCTCAACTGTTCATCACTTGATCCCACTGGTGATAGTGATTATGAATACTGATGCTGCCTGTCGATTGAAGATTGCATGCGCCATTCCACGCCATGTTCGCTCTAATATAATATTCAACAGGTATTGCCAAAAGGATCACGTAAGTGGCTGAAATTCAAGTGTTGATCAGCCATGATCGGAGAAAGATGCAGAAAACCGGCAGAAAGAGTAGCTTTTTGAGAAGTAGCAAAATCGAAAACAAAAATCAGCAAAGTAGCGAGTGTTAATTTGATGGAACTGTTTTGCTCTAAATGGTTACTCAATATGGGGGAGAAAACGGATACCTTCCNTTGATCCCACTGGTGATAGTGATTATGAATACTGATGCTGCCTGTCGATTGAAGATTGCATGCGCCATTCCACGCCATGTCCGCTCTAATATAATATTCAACAGGTATTGCCAAAAGGATCACGTAAGTGGCTGAAATTCAAGTGTTGATCAGCCATGATCGGAGAAAGATGCAGAAAACCGGCAGAAAGAGTAGCTTTTTGAGAAGTAGCAAAATCGGAGACAAAAATCAGCAAAGTAGCGAGTGTTAATTTGATGGAACTGTTTTGCTCTAAATGGTTACTCAATATGGGGGAAAAAACGGATACCTTCTCTGATTAGCTACTGTGACTTTGTCAGGCAATGACATGGCGCCAATGATAAGAGGTGATTGATCAAACGAAAGATGATGATGATGATGCTCATGTTCACCACCTGTTTGATCATCACCTTCACCCGCCAGCACAATTTCATCGTTGTCGATATCAGCCGAAACACGCTTCATTCATTCGAGAAGACTTCAGACTACAACTTCTTTGCTCGGTGCTCATTTAAATTTAATTAAATATTTTCCGCTTAATTATTCAATACTGGTGCTCAATCTAATTAAATAGTTTTGTCTTTTTTATTCCTTTTCCCACTTTTTCTTTTTCTAAAGTAGTCACAGTGTCTGGCACTTGTCAGTTTGTTTAAGTTTTGCGCAAGTAGTGAAGAGGTGCAATTGGTGATGGAAGGTTACACCGGCGTCGGCAGCGCGGCAGCAGCTCTCGTAAATAGTCTGATAATTGAATTCAATATTTTTCTCCATCTATTAATAGGCCATTAGCGCCTTTGTCAACAAGTGTTGATGTGGCAGGTACTGACGAGGGAAAGCTCACTGATTTTGTCCACTGATTTTGACCACCGCTACTTGTAGCACTTGTAGCGCCTAATTCTCACCCTTCAGCACCCGGGTCTGTGTGACATGTGTCGTCAACATGAAGAGGCAGATAAGTCGGAAAGGGCAAAAAAAGAGAAAAAGAAGAGGAGTTGCGTCCAGACCACCGTCACGACCGGTGACCACCAGTGTAAGTGATCACAATCAGGACTCTTCTTTTTCATTCTCCCTTTCCCGTTCTCACCGCTACTGAAGTGGCGATCATGCATGCACAGGTAAACTCTTCATGTCGGTTTACTGCCAATAAAGCAGTCTTGTTTTTATTGCACTTGCAAAATTGAAGTTTTTGACCGCTAACCGCTAATCGTTTTGATGTTCAGCGGTTATGTTCAGTGAGAGATGAGCACTAAAACCACTATACTGACCATGTCAGTATTCTAACTGTATTCAAGGATTTTATTTTGACGTTTGTAGTGAGCAGTGCACATTTTTGCAAAGGGATAGTATTACTATTGACGTTTTGTTGCATAAAAATCACCGAACCACAGGTGGCTATAATCAAATCAATTTGGTGACTAAC